AAAAACTATATTAATATTGTTCTGCTTTAAAGGCACTTATTATTTATTTCTCTCATTCAAGGGTACTGGCCAATGTGGTCATTTGAAATCAACATACTTCATAATTTCATTAATGTTGAATGTGTGTTAAAATACTGTCTTCTAAATTTCATCGCCACATTTGACTGCACTTAAAATCACATATAATAACATTATCTCCATATCAAATCTTTATTTGGCATTATCACGCCTGAGAAATGACGTGCGCCTTATAATACACTGAAGAGCCAAAAAACGAGTACATCTCCCTAATATCGTGTAGGGACCCCGCGAGCACGCAGACGTGCCGCAACACGACGTGGCATGGACTCGACTAATGTCCAAAGTAGTGCTGGAAATAATTGACACCATGAATCCTGCAGGGCTGTCCATAAACTCGTAAGAGTACTAGGGGGTAGAGATCTCTTCAACATTGCAAGGCATCCCAGATATGCTCAATAATGTTCATGTCTGGAGATTTTCGTGGTCAGTGGAAGTGTTTAAATTCAGAAGAGTGTTTCGGTAGACACTCTAGCAATTCTGGACGTCTGGGTTGTCGCTTTGCCCAGCTGGAATTGTCCCAGTCCGTTTGGGTGCACAATGGACATGACTGGGTGCAAGTGTTCAGGCACGATGCTTACATACGTGTCACCTCTCAGATTCGTATGTAGACGTATCCCCCGATACGTCTCATATAACTCCAAATGCACACTCCCTATACATCACAGAGCCTCCGTCAGCTTCCACAGTCCCCTGTTGCAGGGTCCATGGATTCGTGAGGTTGTCGACATACTCGTACACGTTCATCCGCTCGAAACAATGTGAAACGAGACGCGGCAGACCAAGCAACGTCTTTCTAGTCATCAACAGTCCAATATCAGTGATGAGGAACTCAGGCGAAGCGTAAAGCTATGTGTCGTGCAGTCATCAAGGGTACACGTTTGGGCCTTCGGCTCCGAAACCCCATACCGGTAATGTCTCGATCAATGGTTCGAACGCTGACACTTGTTCATGGCCCAACAATGAAATCTGCAGCAATTTACAGACGTATTGCATTTCCGTCACGTGTAGTGATTCTCCTCAGTCGTTGTTGGTCCCGTTCTTGCACGATCTTTTTGCGACCACAGAGATGCCGGAGGTTTGACGTTTTACAGGTTTTCCGATATTCCCGGTACACTCATGAAATGGTGGTACGGGAAAATCCAAATTTCACCTCGGAGATGCTATGTCCCTTCTCTCTTGCGCCAAATATAACACAACGTTCAAATTCACTTAAATCGTGATAAACCGGCATTGTAACAACAGTAACTGATCTAACATGTGTGTCAGTCATATATGTCATATAGATTAGTTGCCAGTCATATATAGTCGTTACCTAATAAGAGCCGTATTCTAATTAGTTCCAGATCTCTTTATTTTAATACGCATGGCTGTACCTTTTTTTGCTCTTCAGTGAAATTAATTAGAGGTCTTAGCGTCGCTCGCGTGAATATTCCCATTTAAACCAACGCTTTGCAAGCAGACGCGCCGCTCGGAAGCGCTACTGCGCGGCCCCTTGCGAAGAGGGGGTGATGCGCGCTGGCTGCGCGGGCTGCGCTCACTGCGCGCGTCGCTCTGCGTGCGCAGCGCTGGCGCTGCGGCGGCGCTCGCCGCTGACGGCCGCCTTCCGCGAGGTGCAGGGGCGGCTGGTGGAGGGCGGGCTGCTGGCGCTGTGGCAGCAGCGCGTGCTGCGCCGGTACGGAGACCCTCAGGTACGCTTCCTTCAGTCGTGAGCAATGTTCTGCGAGCGCGTGGGCACAACACTATTACGTGCACCACGACCCGAGCTTCTTGCTTCCTTTTTACGAACGATTTCGGAGATCCAGCATGTGTAGTGTGGTTTCTGAGACACCGGAAGCAACACTGTGCATGCGCACGTGCGCTGAAACTCTTCAACCGTTCGTCAAAACGTAGCGAGTAATTGGGGTCTTAGTTTCCTACCAGAGGAAAATTTACCTACCGAAGGCGGGTTCCTACATTTTAGGGCTATCCTCACCTCTTACATTTTGCTCTAAGGCACTGTCAGGCTAGAGTTTGAGTACGCAATGCTCCCCCTGAACAACCACCCACTTGAGGCTGGGTGGATCCGACCTGCCTCGGCCCTGCTCCTACACAGAGCTACCAAATTTCCGGGTTGTTACCGGAATAAAATACCACTACCCAAAATCTATCGGGGCAAGCCCTTAATTTTCCACGAGTACCGGGCATCTGCCACTGGCGGGGACAAAAAAAGGAAAGACAGCCCCCATGGCGCAGACAGTTGCGGTAGCCGTCGTCTGCGGCGAGGAGGCTGCAGGTTAGAGTCCTGCGTAGGCATGTTCGTATTTGTGATTGTCTCTTCATCCCTCATCATCATCCTATCACCCTATACTTCATAATTCAAGGCTTAACAACCTTGTGTTACGAAGGGATACACCCGAAAGGCTGATCCCCATAATGACACACGTTAATCTTTCTGGTATAAATATGACTGGGCCTCGGAAGATAACGTGTATCGTGGTCATAAATGGCCTAAGCGCATATAATAATAATAAATATAATAATAATAATAATAATAATAATAATAATAATAATAGTATATAATAATTTATAATAATAACAACAGATTATGATGGTGATGATGATGATGATGATGATGATGATGATGAAGATAATATTATATTCCCGCTGAGTTGCCTCTAGGCAACTGCCACTGCGGCGACTCCTAGGGTTTGAATCCCGACGGTGGCGGATTTTCGACACTAGCTACAGAGAATTCAGCCGCTGTTTGAAGAAAAATTCTAAAGGCTGACTGCTCTGAACAATAATTTTCCGTGATTTCTCCGATCAACTTCTGGCGAATGGAGTAGGGGAGCACCGGCTTTCGCCTGAAGTTGATCGGAGAAACCACGCAAAACTATATACAGATCAGAGCAGCCGGCCGTTAGGATTCTCCTCCAGATAACAACTGAATTCTTCCTAGCAATTAGTACTTAGTGTGGAGAATCCCACCCCCGTCGGAACTCAGGACTCCGTGTCAGAGGCACTGTAGTGACATCAGTCGATGCCCTGAGTCGCCTTTTCTGGTAAGAATACTCGAATTTACATTTATTTATTTAGACTTGTTTATATTTATTTAGTCAAAAAACAGTAAAAACTAAATGTGACGTATGGGGGAGAAGATCATCTGCGCACGTTTTTTGAGTTCCAGAATCCCTTCCCATCACTTTAACTATAAATAGTTCAAGGATGAGTAAAAGTTATAGAGAAATAAATAAATATAAATATTTTTTTAAGTGCGAGATTACAAAGAAACGCGAGATTGAAAAACTAGATATTTCCGTTCCCGAGTTATAGAAAACTTATTTGCAACGGTAAACGAGTTGCAAATATGATTTTTCTGGATTACGAACAATATAGTAACTCGCCCTTACCTCAACTCCTACTGTTACTAGCAAAAGAAGAGTTCAACAAAACGTGCGCATAGTAAAGCTACATTTACGCCCAGAAGCAAAACAAGGGACTATCTCTGCGTTTGCTCAATGAATCAGGGAAACTGGACAAAAACCTGATGGATATGGGGGTCATTGACCCGGAAGCTTATTTCTTACAACCATATTAAGCCTTTAAAAAAATTATACAATACAAATGTAAACTAATTCATAGTATATCACTGTTTTGTGAAAATAAACATTATTTTCCTTTTCGATGACCAGTATAGTCTTTAATTGTATATGAAGAGTGGTGAGTTGGGCGGCGGGCCTGTGTGCGCGCAGGTGCTGCGGCTGTTCGTGACGGAGGAGCCGGAGGAGGGGGCGGGCCCGCGGCCGCTGCGCCCGGAGCACCTGGTGAGCGCCGTGCTGCTGTGGACGCTGGGCGCCGCCGCCGCCACCGCCGCCTTCGTCGTCGAGCGCCTGCTGGCCCGCGCCTGGCGCCGCGCCGCGTCGGGCCGCCTCCACTCGCCCCGGTTGGAAGGCTACGGTCGCCGCCGATTCTTGGAGGAATTGGGGAAATAGTTACACCGCATCGTACCGTTCTGATGTAAATGCTTAATTGGATGGTGGTGAATTAAGATAGATCAGAGGAAGATTCAGAAAAGTTACAATTGGGATGGAGGCTGACTATTCGGCATAGTCGAGTTGGAGGTCGCAGGTGGTTAAATGGTCGCAGTATTTAGTACTTTCTTCTTTCAAAATTCGCTACATTCTGTAGCACCTCTAGTTCTGGATTGTTAAGATACGGGAGAATATGTTAATGAGAGAATATAACAACCCTCCTTCGTAATTTTTGCGCTAAGGTTGACAGTATGAGTGCCAGAAGATTTCATGTCAACGAAAAAATGAATATCTCATTCGGTTTATAAATCAGATCTGCGCTATTTCCCGTCTTTTGTTTCGACAATCATTGTCGTGCGCAGCATAACACAAGGGGGCAACTACATTTCAGGCTCCTCTTATCTAATAAACTTTTATTTACTTAACCCTCTAGTACCCCTGCAACACATATCTGGTCAACTTGTATTTGCAGCTTATTGCACTAATTTTCAAATTTTATTTCTTCAATAGACAGAGACATCCTAAATGAAACAGCAAGTTTTTTTCATTCCTGAATGCCAGGTGACGATTTAGGCGTTATCGCTAAAGGCATTCGAAAAAGCAATTATTTTGCAATTTTTGGCACGTAATATTAGTATTTGTAAAGTATTAAAGTAAATATGAATTAGTTAATTTTAATTATTGAAAAATAGCAAGTTGAGTTAATGCCTTCAACACAGGTGTAGACTTTAACAAATTACTAAAATGCAGGAATTTTGTCTTTTATATCGCATGTTTAGGTATCTTTAGGAGTAAGACAATTATAATGGCACCTTTAAACATTTTTTGGGGAATCTTGCACCCTTCCCTCTTGCCCCATGTACATAGTGCATGCATACACTGTCAATAAAGAGAAATATTTTCAAAGATCAGCACTTTTTATTGACATTGTTTAAAGCTAATTCTTAAGGCTCAGAATGGAAGAATAAGGCTCAGAATGTTCCTCTCATTCAAAATACAAGACTATGATATTATAACTGCTTTGTGGCTAGCTCTCATAATATAAGAATGTCTTATACAATAGCTAGAATCCTATTGTCATATTTTGATGACAAAAAAAGAGGAATATTATTGTTCCTTCAACTCAAAAATTATAATATATAAACATCATGTAATATCTCTAAAGAATTTATTATTTGTAAGATTTTTAAACAAAGAAAATGTAATTTTAAATTTAAAAAATATTACATCTTAGATAATGGCAATTGCTCCTAAACTGAGACCAAAGCGATTATAAACTTTGTAGGGGTTTTCCAAGTAATGTTATAATTTCCTATATTTTCATCATAACTAAATTAAGATGTTCAATGAATATGTTCTTACCTTTGTTGTGATCAATAGGACTATTTGATATGAAGAAATAACTTGTTCGTGCCTCATCACCAGCATCTTGTGGCTGCTCAAGAATTAATGGTGCATGTGGCATTCCAAAAATAATGAAAACCTTGTCAATGTTCCAATCTCTTCATGCTGTCACAATTTTCTACTTCACACCCTCTGCACCATGATACCAAGACAATTTTAAACATTGTTTAATTGAAAAGAGATGTTTGACCACCCTTTGATAAAACATGATCAAATCATCATGTACAATGGTCTAAATTAAAATGACAATTGACTGGGTCAATTTAGTTAAATGATTATTGTTAAAACGCTTTTAACGAATAATTTGAAAAATGAATAATTCTAAAGAAAATCAAAAGGAAAGTTTAGTCTTTTTAAATTCTGAAATGTCAATATTTCATGAATTTTCTTTGATGAATTGATACATTTCTATATAATGAATTAGGTTTTGATAATAATATTGCAATATTTTACAGTTCCTCCAATCATTCCTCTGTAAAACTTGTGAGTTTTTCTGTACATATTTAATTTTCTTGTGATAAAATGCATTTATTTATTAAGCAACCCTGCTAGCACAAAACTTCACTAATCCAATCTTTTCATATGTAACAGTGAAAACATATATGTGTACAAAACTTCACTATTCACATACAAACTATTTTCATTAAAAATGTATTCATTGTTTTCTCCAGAGATGACTTCATTTTCTAGTTACACACATTTAACTTAAAATCTTAGTTGCCAAATAAAACTGTCATAATATGTTAAGCACTAATTCTATATGAACAGTTCATCTAAAACTTCAAAAATTTTAATTTTCAGTTAATTTTTGATAATGAAAACTTTGTTAAATATTTGGCAAAATGACTTGACAGAACTTGAGCAATTAAATTGTTAATAATTTATTGTAATATTTTTAATGATAATGAAAATATACAATCTCATTTGAAATGTTCTCTTAAAAGTAAGTGTACCATTATAATTACCGTTTTAATTCACATTAGTATATTCAGAAGTAAAATATAATTCTATGCCATCTCTAAAGAAATCGTATTCCTCTGGGTGATTTTTATGAAGCAGACTGAATACTTTTAAATCAAAATTTGCACAGGTTTCACCAAAGAATATATTTGTCATCAATTAATTACACAGAAACTTAATGTAGTGAATTTCACACTATTTATGGGGGAAGGCAGCACCTATGAAGATGAACATTGATGTATGGTCAGGCATCTATAATGCATATGCTACCTTTCATTTTGATGGGACATTTCTGGATCAAAATGCATTCTTGTACTTGTATCCACATTAACTTACTATGTTCAATCTGAGACAAGCATTAATTTATGCTGGTTCACATAAACTTATTAATAAATATTTAACATTATAATATTAATTAGACATCCAGCAATAAATCTATGAAAATATAAAATTTTCTGCATCAGTGGTACATGCTTCTTTAGCTAATTAAAACAGGACAGTGAAGTTGGACTTCTCTTGAGTCTTATATGTTTGCCCTGCATTCAGCTCTGGTTCAGAATGTGCTCCCAAATGATCGCTCACTCACAAAGCTTGCATCATACAGAATGTGTGAATTGATCAGTTTCGTTGATGCGTCATCAGTCTTTTAAAAATTGTGACTTGGAACATAAGAAAATATATCTTAAAGCCATCCCATTCACATTGCTGGCACACATTAAAGGTGTATTGATATCAAAGTCAAGTTACATACATGAGATTGAGAAAAATAGGCCAAGAATACACCCTTTCAGGGTAGAGCTTAGTAAAATTAGGTATCTCACTTTTCAGAATGACATTAAGGCTAAAACAGTTCCTAATGACACCATCACCACAAATGTTTCCTAATATCAAGCTGTAATTGTATACATAATAATAGACCCACATTACATGGGAATATTGATTCCATAAATGTATTCCTACTTGCACTATTTACAGCTGTCAGAAGTATATTTAGTTTACATTTGCCATTTATAACAATAAACAACATACATATCAACATGATATATTCACTTGTATCACAAGTTTGTAGAAACATATTGTCAAAGTGAGAAGCCAAATCTCGAACTGTTAACAGAGAGATGAGCTGGTACTCACAAAAGAAAAAAGAATGCAATGCAAAACCAAATACCATTAAAGTGTTCAAAAGAATGAACAGCAATCAAACAGAATGTCAACTACATTAACATATCTGTCATTGACTAGTTATCAAAACATAACTGCCAAAAATATTGCCAGCTGCAAAGGATTTCATTCCCATTTTTTGCAACCACATTTACAAGAACATCAGCATTATATGTTTCAACATTCAACAGAGTAATAGATAACAGTTGACTAAATAACAATATTTCATCTTGTAACTTGTTTTAGGATAAGCAAACAACCTGCTCTTGCTTGGCCTAATCTCAATGGAATGAATTATATATTCATTGTAATTACTTTATCTCATAGCTCGTGTGCTATTACAATATATTTTGTGATTTAATTAATACTGTTCATATCAAGATTAAGCTAAGATAGAGAAAGTTACTAATAAATCAAATGCTACTCATGGAGTGAATCAGTTTATTTAGCACATACAATGGTGATCTTGGAACAAAATGCACTAACACAAGAAATTCTTAATTGGCAACATTTTGTATGGCAGATAATGTCATTTTACATATTCAAATATAAAATAAAAATTATTACACAAAAATGATTTACACATTTACATTCTATGTACACATTTGGGACTCAACATTGCAGCTGGCAGGAATTCAACACAAACACATTGACATGTGTTGCTAAACATTCAAAAAATTTCAGGTATAAAATAAAATAAAAAAACTAGACAAGTGCTCTTGAGGATTGTCTTTCATCAATCTAATTGCACAGAATATACAGATAATATTCAAGTTTAGCAGACACTCATCAGGATGATTTAGATTTCTCACACACTCATACATGCCACAGGAGCAAATGGTTGGTTGCATCTTCACGACCCACAACTTCAGACACACTAGACATTCGGAAGTCTTCATAACCATCACCTCCTGAGATCACCAGCAATTTGGCACCAGAAGTACTAGTATTCTGGTGGGCAAGAAGATCTGGTTTATTTTTCAAAGAGAAGCGATGATGCATACTTTGGCGAACCACAAGGGAATCACTGTTAGAAGAAGGGGCTGTCTCCACATAAGTAAGAAAACGGACATGGCCAGTATGTCCATGAGGAACACCTGAAAAAATTTATTTCAATAATAATTTGAAAATAAAATTTGCATTCAAAAATTTGCATTCACATCTCTCAAAACATAGTTTTTCGTCAAAAAATATAACACAAGTAATCTGCCTAATACGCAATTGAAAAACAATAAAACTGAACATATATATGGTTATTCCCAAGGAGCATTATATAGCCATATTTTCTAAGCAAATGAAAGAAAAAGAAAGAAGAAAAAGAAAAAAAAAGAAAAATAGATTCTACCAGCATTGTACACATGACATACAACTTGACTGCTCACAAAGGCCTTGTTGAAGAAACAAGGTCTTGATAAAACTCTACCTTTATATTATATTCATGCTTAAACCCAATTTAGTTTCCTTTTATTTAACTTTTCCCTCCAAAACACACCTTGGTGAATTCTATTTCAAATACTTCTGAAGGGTACAGTACTCACAAATAATTCTTAACATAAATGGCTATTAAAAATATATGGCTTCATTTATTTAATGCCCATGCTGTTATACAGAAGTGAACGTTGGACATCAACTAAAGACCAAATTAGAAGATTAGAACCAGCTGAAATGAAGTTTCTTCCAACCATAACAGGTTGTACACTTCTTGATCACAAGAAAAGTGAAAAAATTAGAAATAAAATAAAAGTTTGAAGAGTGAATGACTTTATTAAAGAATATAGATAAAAATGGAAAAATCATTTATTAAGAATACCCAAAGAAAGGATAGTGAAAGTTGCCTTGAACAACAAACTGAAAAGGAGAAGAAATGTGGGAAGACCACTGAGAAGATGAAGCGGGCAGTTTTGAGGAGCTGGAACAGACTAAACAAGTCTAATCCTCTCAAGCTGATAATGATGATGATGATGATGATGATTTATTTAATAATTAAACTTTTAAAATAAATGCAAAGATGTAAAAGAATAAAAGTGCAAAAGAAACATTTCAGATATTATTCTTAAGAAATATTACTAAATATGTAAAAATATAATTAAAACTTTTTTTGAGCAATATTTCTTCACATTTAGATAACCTTTGAATGTCGGAATCATGAAAAAAATCATCTAGCAGCAAAGCTTTCTTGATAGTGTTAAATAATAAATGTTATATTATGTTATTATTTTTTATGTTTACAGTGCACTAATATTGAATTATTGAAGAAATCTAAAAATGATGCCATTAAGATTGAGAAAAGATCAATATCCATTGCATTATACTGCAATTGCATTACATTGCATCTGCATTACATTTCTTATTGTTAATCTCTGTTGATATGAAAAATTGTTGATGGTGGTGCCTGTGGTGGTGATGAAGATGCTTATTGAGAGGATTATACTATGATGATGATTACTGTGGTATATCTTTGAATAAAAAGTATATAATTCAATCAGAACATTTTAAAGCAAGTAGCCTATAAAAAATTTAATCTTTCAGAGATGAAAACTTAATGAAAACTGAAAGGGTAAGTATGCACACACAATACCGACACAATGGTAAGGAGAAGAAAACTCAGAGGAAAAGTAATGAGGAGGTGACAAAATAATATGATGATTTTAACATAAAAGCACTGGTAAAAGAAGTAAGAATAAAAGCAAGCAGGGAAAAAAATTCAATGATATCACAGGTAAAAACAGAATAAGGTGAAGAGAGAGATAATGAGTAAGAAAAAGATAAAGATAATGAACATTTAAAATAATATTTTAAATTACAAATACTAATAATATTGTAACATCCTTTAATGAATATTACAAATTTAATAACTCAATCTCGAAGTGCATTGTCACTGAAATGTAGATACAACTATAGAAATGAGAGTAAAATTATATTTGAAATAACACTTGGTCTCAGTTTCCACATCACTATTCATTAGAGTCTGAAAGACTGTTCTAAACATTCTGGAAATTCTAAATTTTGTTCTGTAAATGAATATTGAATCAAAGAGTTCTTAATCTTGCATTATGTGAGTAATGTGTAACAAATATTTACGATCAGACAAAACTTATTAAATAAGTTTGTCTTTTCAATGTCTTTTTTGATACATTTTTTGAGTCACATTAGAGGCCATCCATAAATTATGTAAAGCAAATTTACAGTATTTTGAATACCCCTTCTTCCTTTGGTAACACACCTGTAAATCAACTGAAATCCCTCTAAATACATAGTGCTGTTTAATTTTATTTATGTTATATATTAATATGTATGATACAAGTAATAAAAGTCAGAATTAGTTGACTAACAATAAGATTGGGGACAATTTTTAAGTGAAAGAAAGACACATAAGCAAGAAAATTTATGATCACAAGGCATGCACATGCTGTTGTAGATGATGCATGGGCAAGAGTCTACTGTACCACTTTAATTTGATTTTGAAATATATCATATATCCATTTTGAATATTTTCTTTATAATATTGAACCTTAGGAATGACAAGGATTCAACTGACAAAATTAAAGAAAATGAGTTATTCATGTGATATGGTTCTCTCTAACTTCTGCTAAAAGTAGATTATATACGTGATGCAATATGTGGACAAATAGCAACTGTAAATAAAAATCACTATATACATTGAGATACATTGAGAGATGTCTGAATAGATAAAGAGATGAAACTTTGACATCCATTTATTCAAAACAAGTGAAATGTTTGTAGGAATCTTGTCATTCCAAAAGGCCCATCTAACAGTTTCAGTCAATATAACATCAACAATTTATATTCAAAAATTTTAATTTATTTTTAATTTAATATTTTAATGTTTCAGTATAAGATCAAATAAAATAAATTGTTTCAGGAAATTTTGGAAAAAAACAGTATTACATGGCACTGAATTTACACCCCTTAACACTATGTAACACAGTGTTATGCTGCCTCAACCCTACCCTCTTTATTGTTATATAATTTGCAAAACCTTTAACAAACTGCTTTGGTTATTTAAAATTCCAACAATCTTTACTCACCAGTGGGAGTAGGTACATTGGTAAGTTTAGTAGTAGATGCTGACACATGAGGTAGAGGCATGGTCAGAATAACTCCTGCACTAGTGCCAATCCATAATAGATCTTTGCAAGCCAGAAGTGATGTGACCCGTAAGCAAGCTGCCTTATGTTGCCGGATGATGTCATCGCAACCTTCAGCAATAGCAAATAAATTCATAAAGCCACTTTCTTTCTAAAATATTTAGAAAATATATTTATAAAATTGTTTGAAAAGTTTTCATTTCAATATTTCTACTTACTTGCTAGCATTTTTGTTACTGCTGGTGCCACATTAACATCACATAAACACTCACGAGTAACAGCATGGAAAAGTCTTATAATAGCAGAATTTTGCATAGAAATCCAAACTCCAAACCCAGATGCTGCCATATTAGTTATAGCTCGACTATTTTCAGTATTCACAGGAAATGAATGCTAAAAAATATTAAATGTTTAATTATTTACATATTTATTACATTTCATACAGTAATATCAGATTTAGATACAGTCATGATACTTACTTCTACTTCTAGAGTAATAGTATTAAGTATTTTTATAAAGTTATGACATGCACACCAAAGTTTTCCAGAAATGGGAAGCATGCGAGTCACAGGCATTGCAGCTGTGCCCACAGAAACAGCATAAGGATCACTAGTGTTCCAGCCACCTACTACATTAAAAATATAATATTAATGTTTTTGTTTTCAAATATAAAATATCATTGTATGAGTATAATAAGTAGTAAAATAAATACTTACAGTAGTGCCTTACATAAACTGTGATATCACCATTAGCCAAAGAAACAAAGACCCTGTTGTCCAAATATCTGAAAAGAATTAATGCGTCAATTTAAAACAACTTAAAGACTAAAACCCCACACCTATAAAAATCATTATATCCTCAGTAATACAGAATATATTTCAAAAGATAGTTAAATAAAGCATATAAATATATTGTTCTCACATAATACAATGTACTGAAGAACCGTGTTGAATTTTCACTTTGTTCTTCTTGATACGTATATTATCACTGCAATTATACACATGAATGCAACCATCCTCAGTCCCTAACCACATGGTTGGCTGCAAAGAATCTGTCTCCTCTGACAGAAGACCTGAGTCACTAGTCATGGAATCTGAAGCACTTCGTATACGTTTGGCATCTTCTTCTGTCCCAGGAACTCCGGAAGTTCCATCATCCCCATCTTCTTCATCATCACTAGAAGAACTGCTGCAAATACAGAACCCTTAAGCATGAAAATAATAGGAAACATGTTACACACAAATTAATTTACAGATTTTTCTTGCCTGTCCAGCTGGATATTGCCTCCCCCTTCATCTGCATCTTCTACAGAAATACTGATTCCTGTCTTGCTATTTGTGAATGGCCCTGATGAGCATGAGCTTCCAGAAGAAAGCCTAGGAATGTCAAATTCCCTGAAATCATTTCTAATTCATAATTTCACATCTGTATTCTGCACAAGACAACTTAAAAATTAATTTTATTAAAATAAAATTCATTCATACATCACAAATTCATATATCACACAGGCATGTAATGTATTCTAAGGCCCTAATTCTCCTTAAATTCAAAATGGAAATAAAAATGGTCCATCATGAATAATTTTTCACAAATCAAAATTTACAATTGGGTAGTAAAACGGGAATGGATATTTTTTCCACAATAGAGCCCATAATGCTATCTTTGGTTATGAGTTAATATTACTTCTTCAAGGAAGATGTCTTTCTAAAATTTGTTAAATAATTTTCCCAAGCTCATTCAGAAATTTAATGTTCAGTATAAAGATGATGTATGGATACTACATCAATTCCTTGAAAAGAAGATTAAAACCAGTGGTATAGAAAATTGAAAACAAATTTCTTATTGCCCTTTGAAAATTCAATAAATCTCAAAGGAAGTTACAAAATTCTAAACTGATCCTTAAAGGAAAACCACTCAGACAGAATCAGACTGATTGTTACTATCCCTCTGAGCTGCCACTCTCACCTAACTTATAAAACAGCAAAAATGATTGCAAGTAATGCTAAACAATGTTCCTCATTAAATTGAAAATGGGACATGTAGAAACCAAAGTCACATACTGATTCAATTAATACGGAACTTCATTCACAATAAAAAAAGTTTGTAAAATCCTCAATTTTGCAGACCTTGGTCATGTATTTAATTGTATGTTAACTTTGGAGAAAAATAAAGTAGCTAATTTAGTAGTGTAATGAATCATATGTCATACCTTTTTTATTATGAAAAATAATATTGTCATAAAGAACTTCTTGAAACAACTTCTTAAAACTGAATTTTAACACTCATAAAATGCAAAGAATTGAAACTTATTAATATCAAACAGGAACAATACATTAAAAACAAGATAATACATCAGTATTTTCAACTTACACTGTCATACCAGCTGGAATGGAAGCAATGCACAATATGCGAGCATTACATACTCCATTGCAAGAAACAACAGTTGGTTCTGGTTGCAGACTGAGAACACACACTTGACCCACGTATCCATCACTGTTGCACACCCACACATCTCGCATATTATAAGCATTGAGTCCCAAGGTAGGTGCTGCACATGTAAATTGTAACCCAGCACGTGTTTTCCGAATTGGCAATGGGGATAGAAATTCAGGGACAGGTCGCCTGTCTGCAGAGAGAGCTTAAACAGAAAATATTTTGTAAATAGTTTGCAATACAAAAAATTGAAAATAATTATTTTGAATAAATGGAACATGGAAGGCAAGAATTGAATGCAATTGAAATAACTAAATTTTGTGATGATATTTTTTTATCAGAGAGTTTTTAACTCTTCCCAATTGACTTCAAACCTTATAAAGAGAGTTCATTGTACTAAACATTGCACTAAACATTAATAAAAGCTTGCCCCTTAAATATAGGATTAGAATTACATAAAAAGTTAGTAGTACAATTTGTCTTGCAGACTTACCTAACTTCTGTTTAGCTTCATTAAATGCCTCTTCCCAACTAGTTTTTTTATCAGGTTTAGTGAAAACTACTGATATGTTGTCCATTCCACTTCTGAAGAAAAACAATTTAATATAAAATATGGCCTTCAGTTTCAATCAAAATTAAGATATTTGTACAGTATACTTACTGTGTGTTAAGTGACAGCTCAAGATATGATAACTGGGAATCACAATTTTGCCGCTCAGTTAATTGTTTATTAAGAGTAGAGAGAGTATCTCGCACCAGCTCTTCAAGAGTAGAGTGAGGGCAATGCAGTGTTGAAACCAATTCACTCATTTGATTGAGTGTGGCTACATCCTCCACAAGATGTTCAATTTCTCTAAGAATTCGGCGCACATTTTCATCTTTAGCTGAAAATAACAAACTTGATAAATTGAATTTATTTGTCATGCAAATGGTCTAAATAAATATTGTTTCAAATCTCAATAAATAAATATTTTTCACAAACATAAGAGTTCATTTAAAACATATAGATGTGAAAGATTATTAGCAAAGGAACAAATCATATAATGATCTACAGCCTGTAAATGAAGTAATATAACAAATAAATAATATAATGTCATACAATATATTTTATAATATTTGTATATTTTTAAATTACACTAATTTAAATATTTTACTATATTTTTAAATTACACTAATCATACTACCAGCCGTTTTTTTTTCGAAATATGAAGTTTTAGTGTGCTTTACATTTTCTACACAACTACACTAGACTAACATTCTTCTGTTTAATTGAACAATTTTTTCCAAATTCTTCAGATGGATTAAAAAATGTAATAAAAAAGAAAACTGGCTATTTTAAGGAAAGCAAGTGGTGCTACCACAGCAAATACATTTTTATATTATTTCACAATTTTTGAAAACAAAGAGTTCACAGAAAATGGAACATATACCCTCTCTATAAGTAAACTTTGCTCTATTCGAGGGGGAAAAAAAAAGAGAAAAGAGAAAAATTTGAAGCCATTTTGAGAAAATAATTGTTTAAAAATTGCCTATATTTCATGAAAAATTTTGTGAAAACTACTCATATATTCAAGAAAATATAAACGACCATATTTCAAGATCTAATTTTGAATATCAAACTTCTTTCAGAAAAACTGAAACAAGATGCAAAAAAAATTTTAACTTTTGTAGCTTTCTAAAATTCACAGTGCTACAAAAATGAGACCTGTGTCATTTTTTATTGCCCTTTGCTGGATCTGAGAAAAAAATCCAAAAATTTGGAGCCATTTTTGAGAAAATTTTGAAAACTTTGAGTAAAGTATCCCCAAATCCAAATATTTATTTCAGACTTGCAGGACCTTGAGTTCATTCAAATCAATCAACGAATATTAGTTTGGGAGAAAATTGTCTGAACAGTTCAAGCAGTGTTGTGTAAAAGTGTTTTTCAAAATTGCTGATGGTCTGAGGCATAAGGTGACCTAGAGTACAAGGGTTTCCCATACACGTCAGAGGGTGCAATCGTTCACAAGTTCATGAAAAAATTGCCAAAACAGTCAAATGACCTTTATTAGTCTAGTAATTCATTGGGGGAGAATGTATAAAAATTAAGCCAGCATTCCAAGCTAAATTGCTAATCAATTTAAAAAAAATTAAGAATAAAGTATTTGTTCACAAAATAGGAGAGAAAAATTGAAAATCTCAAAAGAATTTGAGAAATACCATTTTTTTTACATTCTGCTTTTTTTTATTTTGTTTTATATTTGACCATATGAACAACATTAGTGAACTTGGATATTGATTACTAGTTGTTGGAAGATAATTGACTGCAGCGCATTCTTGAATATTATTAGTATGATAAACTTTGCAATTATTACACAACACATTTTTTGGAATATCTTATTTCTACATACAAAACTGGCATAGAGTTACACGCAATATAATATACCACCAATCAATACAGAATTATTTCTCATTCACTTAAATTCACAGAATTATTTCTCTTTCAAATGCTGCACTTCATTATTGAAATTTTGTCATTGTGAACCCACAACATTTTCTAGATTCTTGCATCTCAATGTATACATTTACTCTCATAAATTCTGAAGATTTTATTTACTTTTTTATATTGTAGAATAGGGTAAAATGGAGATTGAAGCATCAGTAAATTATAAGAGATTGTATCAATAATTAACATCTGTTAATTGGACCTCAGATAATTGGGATTTCACTGTAATATCAATACTAAATATGTGCAAAGAATGAGTTCTTACAATTTTGTGGAATGTGTATTTGAAATACAATTAAATGTTTTTCATTCTGACATACCTTTAACAATTTCCAGATCATCTAATGGTATTCTCATGAGCAGCTTGTACTTATTTGCTTCCAAAGTGCTTGCTATACTTCCAGGACAACTTCTGCAAATATAGTAGAGAGGAGATTAAATATAATGCAATAGAAATGACTATGATTCAAGAAATTATTATCTATAAATGAAATATTATTATTTAATATGTATTATGATTTAAATATTTATTGCAAAATTATTTATATAATACAGCTGTAGGCTAAACAGAGGTTTGAGTAATGATTATTTGCAAGAATTGCCAGTATTGCAAACAAACTGCACTGACAAACTCAAACACCTGATAATGAGATGCCTTAAGAGTTACATGTGTAAGTGTGAAAACATTTCAAATCATGAAATAATGCTTTTAGTAAGGATGATTGCCTGAGAAGAGTTGTGATATCAAATTTGGCACTTTGACACTGATGTTGTAAAGTGCAATATTAACTATATCACACTGGTAAGAAGTAGAGATTTCTTATTTGTCAGAACACTTGCAAGTTTAACAAATTATTGTATCATGAAAATATTCATTTAAGATGTTAAATTTTAGTGAATGAAATGTATCTAAAACATTCTCAATACGTACGTGGAAGGTTTGCGGATTGTCCCAGTGCGGCGCTTGATACTAGTAATCACAAGAAGATCAGAGAAGAGAAACAGCGCTCTTTCTTTCCGAGTGCCTTGTCCAGACGCCATAGTCACCAGATCATGTCGAAGGAAACAACGTTCAGGTGTCACTAAGTTAATAAGTCCTTCAATAAGAGCTTCCAACTCTTTTAATGTTTCTCTCTCAGTACAGTTGATCTTAAGTGCTAAATCATGTACCTCCCGTTGAGCTTCCAGAAGTAGTTGATAATCTGGATGTGAGGTGTCTGTGTGCTTCAACAATGTCTGCATGAAACAGAGGCCAATTAATTATGATCAGTACAGTGAAATACAATATTGGGTAAAGAAAATCTAAGAAAGCTTTTACCTAGTACTTACTTGAATTAGAAGCTCATAACGAGGTATCCTCTGCACAGGCATGATGAGCAAACAGTCAAGAGCAAGTTTCCCCTTGTGTTCTCTTGCCATTGCCTTAACAGGAAGATTTGTAATTAATTGTAATGAAAATATTAAAATGAAGTTATGAAAAACAACCTGCTCTTTTTTTCTTTTTTTTCCACATAGAGCACATACATTTATTTTGACATTAATACAAATGTATGCACAATTACCTCCAGAAATTTGGCAAAGGCAGGTTTTGCTTGACAGGCATTCTTCACCACCTCTTTGGCTGTCTTCCAATTGTTGATAAAAGAGGTGTATGTTTCAATCACAGTTTGCTTGGTAAACTGGAATAATGATATTGTATAGTAAGAATATGATCATAAACAAAACCAGTTCGTTAACCCTTACATCATCATCATCGTAATAATAATAATAATAATAATAATAATAATAATAATAATAATAATAATAATAGCAATAACAATAACAATAATGAAGTCATTACTTTTTGTTGCATTTCCATTTTGCAAGACAAAATTTTCATAAAATTGATTCTGATAAAAAAAATTCACTTTATGCCATCCAAGGCTTTCTCAGAGAATTTATTGACAAGTTCACATCATTAACTAATTTTAAAAACATTAATAATAAAATTTCAATGGCATGTGTATTTGGCAATGTATATGAAACTTTAAAAGAATTTAATTTTTAAAGTACTGGAATCACCTCAACAATATGGTCTCGAATTTTTGGTCATAAAACACATCCATGTCCACACACACACCAGGATCAAAGTCTATTAGTGTTATTTCAAAGTTAGTTAAGATTGTTGCAAGTGCTGGGAAAATATATGCAATTTTGTTGTAAATTGAAATGGATGAATGGAAGTATGTGTCATGCTAACTCCGTCAGATTAGAAAGTTTTGAGCTCAAACTTGGAAAACACATGAGTAAGATATAAATGTGCTGATCGGAAGATTAAGATATTTTTATTTTGGGGAGCTCAAGAGAATATTCAAATGGAAGAGATAAATAAGTAGTATATAAAACACTGTTTGCCATTGCAAAATGCTGAAGTTCAGGGGCAAGATAAAATAAAAACAAAAAATCTAACTGATAAGTGAGTGCTATTTGTGAAATGAAATTTTAGAAAAATTGTTCGCTTAAATTTTGCCCTGTACTTGAACAATTTTCACATGTTGACAGCAAGATGTTAAAAAAGGCAGCTTTTTCCAAAAAAGGTGTTGGCTGACTTTTAGTGAAAGAGTAGGTAAAAATTCAGAGATAATTTCAGACTTCAATTTTCCCTCATGTAATGATAATATTAAGCATTAAGAAGATATTTTTGAAGAAAATAAAAAATTACAAATATACACTATACAAATAGATAATGCATTCATTGGAAAAAATTTAATAAATATTGAGAAAGAACTGATTATTTACTAAGTTATATAGAAGGAAAAAGAAGCTCAGAAGCTGGGAAAATGTTGAATAATTTAAGAAATAATGTGTTTAACAAAATAAAATTACAGGGAATTTCATTACAAAACTGGAAACAATACTTTGAAGAATGGTTAATTGAAAGACAGAGTCAGTTTTTAAAACTATAGATGTATTGAAATGCGTATTCAAACCATTAAGTTTAACAGAATTGACTATCATAAGAACAAAGTCAGTAGGATATGTTATTGACGCCAATGCTTGACGGGAAATGATGCAATGCATAGTTTTAATAGCGGGATACTTCCATGTGACCAATTTGACTAAGTCCGACAGTGATCCCAGAATGTCGGGATAAATCAAGCAAGGTTCTTCAATTTGTGTTTATGCTTCCGGAAATAATTTTCATGACATTCTTTCCATTTGTACAAGTTTTCAGTTTTTATAGCATAAGCGTTTGTACTTAGATCTGTCAACTTCACTTAAAAAACGAACATACACTAATAATAAAGCGCTATTTGAATTATCTTTACTCTCTCCGCATTGAGTAGGAAGCATTTTGTATGAGACTCACTAGCAGCTGTTCAATATTCATCGATTATTTCCCAATTCCCAATTTGTCAGTAAAAGGTAATGAAATATATCACTTCTTCCTTGCAGATTTCTTGCCCCAAACGTTTCCAATTGCTCTCAAAATACAATTGGTTTATTTGAAGTTTCCCAGTTAGTTTGAAGTTTTTAGAGAAATATACTGAATTGTGAGATCTCGAAATTTGCAGAAGCTATCTTCTTGGATAATTCATGTCTCAGATTTTGAGAGAGACCGTTGAAGTAATAATACTATAACAGATAATCACGCCTGTTTTAACCTGTTTACCTCATGAAGCAATTTTTTACTTTCTCGCTTTACGAAACAACCAATCTTGGACCATTTCGAACTCTTTGAACTCATTTGAGAAGGCGAATGGTCTGCGGTCCGCCAGTTAAGAACCAGTGCTATAAACCTTTGCATAGTCAGTTACAAACTGTCTGTGTGCCATATCAGTCTGCCGTTCATACACGTCTATACACATGGTATTCGGAATCAGTCTAGTAAACATAACTTTATCTACTGAATTTGACATGCTTAGCATATTCATTATTTTGCTGATAAAGTTGTGATCAATCAGGTTCATTGAAAGGTTTGAATCAACGCCACAGACAATGACAATTCCTAAGCCAAAATTACATTCCTAAAGGATATAGTCATACTTACTGCATCAAGGAAGACATCTCCAACCGTTTGTCTCACATCCCATGTGTCGAGGCGCTTCCTTAATTGCTCAAGGAAAACCTCGTGATGTGAAAGAATAGCAGGTACCTGCAAATACCGAATAGGACTTAATAAGTGACACGTTTTGGATCATTGGAATAATAATTATATTAAGTCCATTATTGCCTTTCAAAATGCTGCAAAATGTGTTCATACCTGATAAAATATCTCATCAACAAGGGCAGCATCAACCAGACCAGCATTTTCTGGACTTTTCAATGGTTTCAGGTATTTCTGAAACAGAACGGCAGTTTTAATAAGTAACTTCATCAAAATATTTTTTATTTGTCAAACCCACCTCAAAATTTTGGCATTTTGAATTTTGATACTGGAATATGATAGTCAAATCCAACAAAATAACAAATAAAGAACACGAATATAAAAACCAGAATTAACAGTCTCACACGAATTCCACTCCGGTACACGGAGAACAACAATGGGAGGTGGAGGACGGAGGTGGGGTCTACGGAGGACCCTAGAATTAAGTACAAAATAACTGAAGAAAATTTGTTTTTATTAATAGTTTGCTGCAAGTTTGTGGTAAAATATTTTCAATTTTTGCGCTAAGGCAATGGCATAAAAATCTTGAATAATTTCTGTACTCACGGTCCCTCCCGTAGAGATACCGATGACCACGTCCTTTTTTTTAAAGAAACAATTTAACAATCACTAAGTTATTCCGAATGCATAAATGTTTTACATAGACAAATATTTAAAAAGGATTGCAACGTGATAATGCACAGACCTGGCTGTAAGAGAGCGCCGAAGTTCCCAAGAAGCAATGACATACGGTGTCGGTTTCGAATTCTTTTCTAAACATTTTATAAGCGTTGGGAGACGATGCTATCTTTTAGATTTCAAAAATACCTGTATTCTAATAGTAAAAGTCGTATTTAATGAAATACTAACTTCTTACCCAAAGAAAGACATAGGAAAACAAACTATTTTGGGTCCATCAGTGACCGCCCTCTCCATTGGTATGTAACTGTTCCATAACCCACGGCTGAAGTGTTCCATTTTTTTTCAGTATTACGTTCATTCTGAACCACTGCGCGGCGTCTTTTGTCCGCCTCATTTCACCGTCGCAGGCGCTGCGCGCGTTCGGCTCCCGCAACCCGCCAAACGGCACCCCGACCCGTCCCGTACCGTCCCGTTCCGTTCCGTCTTGTTCCAAACCAATCTGAACCGTCCCATCCCACTCCGACTCGTCTCGCTCCGTCCCGTCTGCTCCGTCCCGTCCGCTCTGCCCGTCCGCTCCGTCCTATCCGCTCCGTCCTATCCGCTCCGTCCCGTCCGTTCCGTCCCGTCCGCTCTGTCCCGTCTGCTCCGTCCCGTCCGCTCCGTTCCGTCCGCTCCGTCCCGTGCGCTCCGTCCCGTCCGCTCGTCCCGTCCCCTCCGATTCGCCCCGCGCCATCCTGCTCCAACCCGTGCCGTCCAGTCCTGCGCCGCGTTCCCGCCGTTGGTGAATTCGCTCTTCATCACTGATCAATAAACAAAGCGCTCTCGAAGGATACCTGGCACAGTGTAATCATCTCCCTCCGGCATTGATTGTGCGGTGGCTGTTTAGTGCGACAGTTCAAAATGAATCCGTCCTAAAGGGCGCTCTGTGAACGCACGCGATTAATTGCCTCGCAGCGGAGCCGCGGGTCAACGTCTCGGGCGCACGGAGGCCGCTGCAACGGCCAACCAAGCACACATTGCACTCCCCCATTCTTGGAGTCCTTGCAAGTGAGGAAGTTCTGCCGCCGCGTCTACTACTTAGGTTTATTTAGGGAATATAGACATGTCGCCTGCTTTGATCATTAGCCCCGTAAGAGCAGTGAATATTTTATAGCGGGAGGTAGCGGTGTTCCTCCATTGTGAGATCTAGCGCTGACTTACCCATCGCCGTGCGGGGTTTTCCCTATTCAGTTATTTCCGCCGGTGGAGCACGGCCGCAGCCGGGAGGTGCTCTAAGTTACCGACTGGTCTCCCTACATGTGTACGTAGTGAGTCTGTGTGTAAGTAAGAGGAGAGATTAGGACAAGGAAGAAGGAGGGATGGTGCGCGGTTCGTGACCCGCTTGTTGGAATACTGCTCTGGCATTCACCTGGTGATGATCTGAGAAACAACGAAAAGTATCAGATCATCCGGAACCGCAAATTATTCTTCAGTCAGCGGTTGAGTTAGACCTAGCTATTTAGCTTATGTCGAAAATCCGGCACTAACGGAACTTGAACCTTAGGAACTGTCAGTCACAGGAGTTGCATTAAGAGCGGCTCTGAGCTAACTCAGTCGTTACCGCGACTGAATACGACCAAGTTTGGTTTGTAGCTAATGTCTATAATTCCCCACCTGAAGGGCTAGAACCGTAGGCATCCCAGTCAAGAACGCGGTATTAACAACGGATAATGACAGAGAAAATGAGATAAAATTTTATTTTAATTAACGGATGTTGTCACTGATTCGTAACAGCTGGTTAAGCACGTTTTCTACTAGATGAAACACCCTCACATTATTTGAAAGCTCTTTGTTGACAAAAAGCCCGAGACCCTCTGACTGATCATGTCCCACCACCCATGGAAGCAGTTAACCCCTGTGGTAATACATGGTTTTCTTTTTAACTAATAATATTGATTCCTGTTTTCCCTTTTACTAGTTAACTAGATGTTAATTTAACTTGGTTTGTCTTTTCAAATTTCTCTCCCATTATTCCCTCCAAAAGAGAACATATAGCATTATACACTGGTTTCTTATTTCCCTCAAATCCACGATCCTTTCGATCCAGGTAAGTTATGCAGTGTATATCAAGCTCCTTATCGTAGGCAATAAGAAACAATAACGTTTCAGTAAAACAAATACATTTATGAGAGTACTGCTCCGACATACGCGTGGTGTTGATCGGAGAAAAAATGTAAAACTCTTAATTAAACCAGCGGACGTGCTTGGAAGACCAAACTTCCGAGGCGGAGACGATGAGAACAGAAGAAAGAAACATTGATGCAATTATTCGTGAGGGAATGTGTACATGTAGTACATAAGAAAGAGAGAGAAATGTACGCATGCAACTTCGTATTGATGAAATTCGATGTTATCACAGTCACGAAATACAATTTCTTAGTCAGAAAAGGTTTCAACTTTAAACATTTCCATTCTTCATTTATAAATCACAATCAAGAATATCAATGTTTTTTAAAATTGCAAATACTACAAAACTTGACATTTTTGTTCACTTGTATTTATAAAATGCGCCCCCCTCAGAATGCGCTGATCACAAAACAAAGAGTCTTAACTCTCGACCGATAAAATGTAAAAAGGATTCAAGGAGCGTCGTGTAATACCACTCTTGGTTTACATGAATGTATATTTTTCTTCGGCGACTATAATTTTTTTGTTAACTGTGTTTCTTGGGCTTCTTTCGAAAGCACAATACGAAACCTTGATTTACACAGGCGAGAGAAAGAAGGATAGAAAGGAGAAAGGAAAGGGGAAGCAGGCCGTTTTACACAACTATCAACACTGCTTCAAATCGCTGCATCTACCTTCCAGATAACACGGTGTCAGGTAATCACGTACAACACAACTGCCTGGAGCACAATAGAGATGTCTAGAGAAACGTGGAGCATGATTCTGTTGCATTTTAAACCTGCTCTGTAGAAAACCTCGCTGTCTGTGAAGGTACCTGTGAAACTGTTATTTCTTGATATTACTCTTAGCTTCAGGAATCCAAACTTCCTTGTTCATTCATGTAGAGGTTGACAGATAAAAATATATGGAAATGCCCAGTATGTCTTCCATGTATTGGAAGAGTAGTCTGTGGTTCTGAGTGATAGTTGCATTTTAATGACCACATATGCAATATGGATAATAATCCTGAGGCCAAAATATTACTGAAAAGAGTTCAGTAACTGGATCGTAAGGTAATTATATACATTTATGGACAATAGTTTGCATTTTATTTTAACGCGGAAATTGAAACTAACAAATGTTTTTCAGAGAAACTTTATAATCAAACTTACAGAACATACAATTTTATTAACACTATTTCATTAAATATTTCTTTTATACATATACAGCTTCTTATAGACATACGCTTCTTCAGATCCGATTTAAGTTTTCTTTACATAAATTTGAATTACATTGAATTACAACTAATCTTTAATTTTTTTAAAAACATAATTTACATGTAATGATTAATTTAGACAACCAACTAGAAAAACGTCCGTGAGAGATCATATTCAGAGTTTAAATTAAGATTTACCATGTTCCAAATTATAACATTTATCCTGGACAATAAACAGAGCTATAATACCTAAGAATAAATGTAATGGATTTGGGAGTCATGAAATGAAATTAGTATTTTGTGTATCACGGACCCGCTGACCCACGCAAAACCATCGCCGGCAAGCCCAGGTTCCAATTGGGTAGTATCGCCATTTAAAAACTAATAAATAAACATGGTGCTGTGGCGTGTGGCACGCGAGCAAGCGACGCGGACGGGCGGTGGGCGTGGAGGTGGGGTGCGGGGTAGGGTGGCGACGCGGCGTCTCGGTGCCTTGGCAGCGGCAAGCGGGGGGCCGGGCCAGGGCTGGCGCGGCGCGGCGCGGCGCGGTGGCATCGTAAAGGCGCAAGGGGCGGCAGGCGGCCGCCACATGGCCCAGCGGCAACGACGCCCGGGCCACGCGCGCAATGCGCTTCCTTCTCTTTTCCCTTCGGAACTACTCTTGTTCTTCTTTTCCATTTCTTCTTTTCTTCTCTTTCTCATTCGCGTCGTATCCTTCTCCTCTCTCTCTTTTCTTTCCGCTTCCATTCTTCTCTTTTGCCTTCGTTTCTACTCTTTCGCAACGACTTTCCTCTTTTACCTTCGTCCCTTTTCTTTTCCCTTCGTCTTCTCTTTTTCTTCTTTGTCTCTATTCTATCTCCTGTCTCCACTTTATCTCTTTCAATTTTAATTTTCATTTCATGTCTTTCCTCAAATCCTTTTCTTCATTTTTATTTGTATTCTTAAATTTTGAAAAATATATCATTCAATGATAATTCGAACTTTATCCATTTTCCCCCGTTCTTCTTTCTTCTTCTTCTTCTTCTTCTTCTTCTTCTTCTTCTTCTTCTTCTTCTTCTTCTTTCAAACTGCACACTGCACTGACAACTAATTTTGTAATTAGTGGCTGGAAAAGGAAAATATTTCTACAGGCGTCATTTGTAAGCAAACGTAAATAAATTGAAATATTATCAAAATTGCAGAAAAATGGGATATATAAATTTCGTTTATTTATTTTATTTTAATGTATGTTTACGCATATTTTTATTAAGTATTTCGAATATTTCTTTAAGAGTACAGAAAATAAATGAGTGTGGTGTCTTCAGAGTCCAGTGTGCTGTGGAGGTCGTAAGGCCTGTCGGGGTTCGCGGCCGGGTCAGTGGCGAGGCAGTGGAGGTGGGCGCGACGCCGAGAGCGAAACTG